TATTCCTTTTTCAATGCTGTGTATTATCCCATTATAGGAAAATACTATAATTAATTTATCCATTCTACTAGAGATTTGAGTTCTGATTTCTTCAGCTTTATTGAGGTAAAGGTGACAAAGTTATAAGATATTTAAAGTGTACGATGTGATCATTTGATACACAGTGTGAAAGGATTCCCACCATCAGACAGACCTCCTGCTGATCAGGGAGCCTGATGTGGGGCTCGATCCCAGGACCCCGGGATCACGACCTGAGCCAAAGGCAGATGCTTAACTACTAAGCCACGTAGGCGCCCCTGATTTTAACTGACATTTACCTGATTATTAATTAGATGGAGCAGCAGTCGTTGTCTCTTTTCCTTTTCTGTTCAATGCCTGGTTCATATTTTTTGCTGCTTTTTCTTTCTTATTCTTTTTTTTTTTTTAAGAATTTTTACTTATTTATTTGAGAGAGAGCAGAGTGAGTGAGAGAGAACACGAGTGGGGGGGGAGGGTCAGAGGGAGAGGGAGAAGCAGGCTCTTGCTGAGCAAGGAGCCCGATGCGGGGGCTGATGCGGGGGCTCGATCCCAAGACGCTGGGATCATGACGTGAGCCGAAGGCGGATGCTTAACTGACTAAGCCACCCAGGAGCCCCATGCTTTGCTTATTTTTCTATTTGGATGTTTTTCTTACTGTTTTCTTTTTACTGATTGTTTTGTAGTTAGTTATAGGTGCTGGCTGTTAATCCTTTATCTTTTTATTTATTTTTTGGTTTAGTATTGCAAGTATCTTCTCTTAGTTTTCTTTTCTTTTTTTTTAAGATTTTATTTATTTGTTTGACAGAGAGAGAAACAGTGAGAGAGGGAACACAAGCAGGGGGAATGGGAGAGGGAGAAGCAGGCTTCCCGCTGAGCAGGGAGCCCGATGAGGGGCTCGATCCCAGGACTCTGGGATCATGACCTTAGCCGAAGGCAGATGCTTAACTGACTAAGCCACCCAGGAGCCCCATGTTTTGCTTATTTTTCTACTTGGATGTTTTTCTTTTTAACTGATTGTTCTGTAGTTAGTTATAGGTTCTGGCTGTTAATCCTTTATCTTTTTATTTATTTATTTTTTGGTTTTGTATTGCAAGTATCTTCTTTTTTTTTTTTTTAAGATTTTATTTATTTGTTTGACAGAAGGAGACACAGCGGGATAGGGAACACAAGCAGGGGGAGTGGGAGAGGGAGAAGCAGGCTTCCCCTTGAGCAGGAAGCCTGATGCGTGACTTGATCCCAGGACCCTGGGATCATGACTTGAGCCGAAGGCAGACGCTTAACGACTGAGCCACCCAGGCGCCCCTTCTCTTAGTTTTCTGTCTTCACTTCCTTTTTGGAACGGGAGCTCTTAATTTTATTTATTTTTTTAATTTTTATTTTTTTTTAAAGATTTTATTTATTTATTTGACAGAGCGAGAGCAGGAACACAAGCAAGGGGGGAGTGGGAGAGGGAGAGGGAGAAGCAGGCTTCCTGCTGAGCAGTGAGCCCAAAGTGGGGCTCAGTCCCAGGACCTTGGGATCATAACCTCAGCCAAAGGCAGAGGCTTAACGAATGAGCCACCCAGGCACCCCTGGAAGTTCTTAATTTTAATGTAGTTGAATATTTAGATCTTTTCTCAGTTGGTTTGTGCTTTTATATCTTACTGAAGTAATCCTTCCCTATCCTATATTTTTTCTAAAGGTTTTTTTTTTTTAAGATTTTATTTTTCAACAGAGAGACAGCGAGAGAGGGAACACAAGCAGGGTGAGTGGGAGAGGGAGAAGCAGGCTTCCTGCTGAGCAGGGAGCACGATGTGGGACTCAGTCCCAGGACCCTGGGATCATGACCTGAGCCGAAGGCAGACGTTTAACGACTGAGCCAGTCAGGCGCCCTCTAAAGGTTTTTAAATTTGCCTTGTTCATTTTTAGTCTTTATCTTAATTCATTTTCATTTCCCTGATAAAGCTTTTTCTCTTTTTTTAAAGATTTTATTTATTTATTTGACAGAGAGCACAAGTAGGCAGAGCAGCAGGCAGAGGGAGAATGAGAAGCCAGCTTCCCACAGAGCAGGGAGCCTGATGGGGGACTTGATCCCAGGATGTTGGGATCATGACCTGAGCTGAAGGCAGAAGGTAGAGGCTTAACCCACTGAGCCACCCAGGCGCCCCTAAAGCTTTTTCTTTTGAAGTCTGTTTTGTTTAATGTTAATATGGCTTCTTTAGTTTTCTTTTTGTTTCTGTTTTCCTGGTGTATCTTTTTTCATCGTTTTACTTTGTTTTCTTTGTCTGTTTTAGATGTGTCTTTATATAAATAGCATACATCTAGATTTTTAAAAACATCCACCCTGATAACTTAACCGGAGAATTTCATTTTTTTCTCCTTCTTGCCTTTTTTTTTCTGAGTTTCTTTTTCTCTCTTTCCTCTTCTCACTTAATTACTTGTAAGTTATATACTCTATTCTTTAGTCTTCCTTTAGTGAGTATACAATTTTTTTTTATAATATTCAACTGAAAGTTTAAATTTAAAACTTAGTAATGTAGGGATTATCAAATGCTTCATTACTCATTGCCTTCTGCCAGTTCATGCTACTGTTGTTCAGTTTTGTAGTTTTTGTGTTTCTCAACACCACAAATTATACTTTTGTTTTATTCAGTTAGTGGATGTTTAGAATACTTCCATATTTTACCAATTCCTTTGCTCATTCCACTCCTTCATTCTGGCGTTCTTTTCCTTTAAAAGTTTATTTAAACAAAAAAAAATTTTTTTAAGTAATCTCTACACTTACCACGGGTCTTAGACTTAAAACCCCAAGATCAAGAGTCACATTCTCTTCCGACTGAGCCAGCCAAGTGCCATGAAAGTTAGTTTTGATAGATGTAAGAGTTTAGACCTGAGGTTGGCAAACTGTTTTTGTAAAGGGCCAGTAATAAATATTTTGGGCTTTGTGGGCCAGTCTCTGTTTCAAGTAACTGAACTATGCAGTTGTAGTGTGGAAGCAACCATAGACAAAAAATAAACGTGTGTGTGATTGTGTTCTGATAAAATTTTATTTTAGACACTTAAATTTGAATTTTGTATAATTTATATTTAAATTATATAAAATATATATAATATATAATGTTACAAAATATTAAAAAATGTAAAAACCATTAAAAATGTAAAAACAGGGGTACCTGGGTGGCTCAATTGGTTGAGTGTCTGACTCTTGGTTTTGGCTCAGGTCATGATCTCATTCATGGTAATGGGATTGAGCCCCCAGTCAGGCTCCCCCCTCAGTGTGAAGTCTACTTCGGATTCTTACCCCCTCTGCCCCTCCTTGCTTGCACAAGTGCGCATGAGCACGAGCTCATGCTCTTAAATAAATAAATAAATAAATAAATAAATAAAATCTTTTTAAAAAAATGTAAAAAGCATTCTTAGTGTGTTGGCCATATAAAAATGGGTTGGGTTTGTTTGACCTGCAGGCCATAGTTTGCTAACCTTGTGTTTAGATTAACATTCATTTTACTTAGCACCTGAGACATGGGAGTGATTTTTCTTATAATGTCTTTATGTGTAATTATTTCCCATTTTTAATTGTTGAGACGCCAGCTATCAGTCTAATTGTCCTTTTTGTATAGCTTATCTGGTGATACTTTTTTTTTTGGTTGCTTGTAAGAACTTATTGTCTCTGGTGCAGGTCCTTGTGATGTATGCAAGTGTGGATTTATTTTCATTTAACCTGATCAGGATTGATTGAACATTCTCAATCTAAAGATTAGTGTCTCTCATTGCTTCTGGAAATTTTCAGCCATTATTTTTGTTTATATCTTACCATATCATATGTAACAAAGGTAGTTATAAGAAAAAAACATTTGAAGATTTTCTGCAAAATTGGAGTATAAGGTAGTATTTATTATATTTAATAATGTCCCTTAAAAAAAACTCCCTCCTAGGGGCACCTGGGTGACTCAGTTGGTTAAGCGGCAAACTCTTGATTTCAGCTCAGGTCATGATTTCCAGGTCATGGGATCAAGCCCCACATCAGGCTCAGTGCTCAGCAAGGAGTCTGCTTAAGGAGTCTCTCTCCCTTTCCCTCTGCCCCTCCCTCTGCTTGTACTTGCTCTCTCTCTCTCTAAATTAAATAAATAAATCTTAAAACAAACAATTCCTAGAATTGAGTGCTAGGTAACTTCTATATAGATGACCTCATAAACTTTTTATCAAAGTTACTACTTTTTTGGTTTGGCTGTTAAGATGTATAGCATTAAGTGTAATACTAATATGTAGTGTCTAAGAGCTTTGTACATTTATTTGTATCTAAGAGCTTAGGACATTTATTAGTACATTTTATTTATTTATTTATTTTTTAAAGATTTTATTTATTTATTAGAGAGAGAGAATGAGAGATAGCACAAGAGGGAAGAGGGTCAGAGGGAGAAGCAGACTCCCCGCCGAGCAGGGAGCCCGACGTGGGACTCGATCCCGGGACTCCAGGATCATGACCTGAGCCAAAGGCAGTCGCTTAACCAACTGAGCCACCCAGGCGCCCTGTTAGTACATTTTATGCATTATAATTATATATTACTCAGGGTGCCTGGGTGGCTCAGTCAGTTAGTGTCTGACTCTTGGTTTCTGCTTGGGTCACGATTGTGGGCTCGAGCCCCACATCAGGCTCCTCACTCTGTCTAGAGTCTGCTTGAGATTCCCTCTCCTCCCTCCCCCCCCACTTATGCTCTCTCTCTCTCAAATAAATAAATAAAATCTTAAAAAAGAATATGTACACATAAGAATGTAGATATATAGATGTGCATTATACATTATTAATAGTTTGGCTAGCAAAAGTATGACTTGACATTGCTTTTTAAACCATATTAAAAATGGTTTTTAATTTTTCCTTGTGCCTATATGTAATTAATGGATTAATTGCATGATTGGAGAGCTACTGATGATGGTTATTTGAATGCTTTTTTAAGTTAGCAAGATTTATGGTAATGCTTTAACATAGACTTCTTTCTTTTCAGAGAACTTTTCCTGCATCTGCTGAATCTCAGAAACCCCGGCTGAAAAAAGGTCAGTACGCAATTTCATTGTATGTGTATATTTGCACAGATTTTTTATTGGTTCTTTGTTTATATACATTAGAGCTTTTAAAAATGTGAGTTTTGGAGAAAAGCAGTGATAGTCTAAATATTCCTCCATACCTAGCTTGTATTTTATGGAGTTGTTAGATATTTTGGGACTCATTTTGCCTGTAAGTGTGTTTAAATGGGGCTTTATTATTATGTAAGTGTGTATTTTCTACTTGTGGAAAAAACACTGTGAAGTTCCCATGGTACATATCAGGCCTCACATAATCTCATGTCTATGTTAAATTAAGTGTGAGGTTTTAAGAAAATTGAGTCTGTGAAGACTAGGTAAGGACATATACTGTGAAGAGCTGCATTTAAAAATCTAATAGAGATATGTTCTGTTTATTTAGAGGACTAGGATTCCTTCATTTGTTAACTTATAAAGTCTTAGGAAGGCTTGCATCAGATTGTAGTTTACTATATTGGATATTCTGTCAATGTCTAATAAACATGTCTAATGCCTAACAAACTTAGAAAATACCCAGACTTTTTACTTAGCAGAAGAGACCATCTCTCATCTTTTCTTAAATGTTTGCTAGAGTGTGACAGTGAAGCAATCTAGGTCATGATTTCTCTTTGTTGGAAGGCATTAAGTACAAACTCAATTTCTTTAATAGATATATGGGTTTATTCAGTTTATATGTATTTTTTTTAAAGATTTTATTTATTTGAGAGAGAGAGAGAATGAGAGATAGAAAGCACGAGAGGGAAGAGGGTCAGAGGGAGAAGCAGTGTCTAAGTAGTGTCTAAGAGCTTTGTACATTTATTTGTGTCTAAGAGCTTAGTACATTTATTAGTACTCCCTGCTGAGCAGGGAGCCCTATGTGGGACTCGATCCTGGGACTCCAGGATCATGACCTGAGCCGAAGGCAATCGCTTAACCAACTGAGCCACCCAGGCTCCCTCAGATTATATGTATTTCTTTAGGGAGAGCTTTGGTAATGTTTTTCTTTCAAAGAAAGAAATGATAACTAAGATGTCCGTTTCATCTTAGTTATCAAATTTATTGGTGTAAAGGTCATGATACTCCTGTATTTTCCTTTTAATATCTAGTGATAGTGCCTATGTTCCTGATTTTGATGATTTATGTCTACTGTCATTTTTTTCTTTTTTCTTTTTTTTTTTATTATTTTTTTTTATTTATTTGAGAGAGAGAGAATGAGAGATAGAGAGCACGAGAGGGAAGAGTGTCAGAGGGAGAAGCAGACTCCCCGCCAAGCAGGGAGCCCGATGTGGGACTCGATCCCGGGACTCCAGGATCATGACCTGAGCCGAAGGCAGTCGCTTAACCAACTGAGCCACCCAGGCGCCCTCTTTTTTTTTTTTTTTTTAAAGATTTTATTTATTTATTTGACAGAGAAAGACAGCGAGAGCAGGAACACAAGCAGGGGGAGTGGGAGAGGGAGAAGCAGGCTTCCCGCTGAGCAGGGAGCCCGATGTGGGACTCGATCCCAGGACCCTGGGATCATGACCTGAGCCGAAGGCAGACGCTTAACGACTGAGCCACCCAGGCGCCCTACTGTCATTTTTTTCTTGATCAGCCTGGCTAGAGGTTTATCCATTTTATTGATCTTTTCAAAGAACCAACTTTTGATTTTATTTTTTCTTCTCTCTTGCTTTTCTGTTTCAATTTCATTGATTTCTGCTCTTATCTAATACTGTATTTAATTTGCAGTTTCTTTTTTTCTTTTTCCAGTTTCTTTTTTTTCTTTTCTTTTTTCATTTTTAATAGCTTTATTTATTTATTTTTTTGACGTAGTGTTCCATGATTCATTGTTTGTGTATAACACCCAGTGCTCCATTCAGTACGTGCCCTCTTTAATACCCATCACCAGGCTAACCTGTCCCCCCACCCCCTCCCCTCTAGAACCCTCAGTTTGTTTCTCAGAGTCCATCGTCTCTCATGGTTGGTCTCCCCCTACAATTTCATCCCTTCATTTTTCCCTTCCTACTATCTTCTTTTTTTTTTAACATATAATGTATTATTTGTTTCAGAGGTACAGGTCTGTGATTCAAGAGTCTTACACAATTCACAGCACTCACCATAGCATATACCCTCGCCAGTGTCTATCACCCAGCCACCCCCTGCCTCCTACCCCCCACCACTCCAGCTGATATGAGGAATTTTTTCAGTTTCTTAAGGTAGAAAGGGGATCATCGGTTTGAGTCTTTCTTCTTTTCTGTTGTAAGCATTTAGTACTTTATGTTTCCCTGTAAGCACTGTTTAACTGGTTCATATACATTTCAAATGTTATGTTTTAACTTTTATACAATTCTAAATATTTTAAAATTTCCTTTGTGTTCCCCTAAACCCATATACAATTAATAAAGGTACTGATCAATTTCCCTATATATGGGAAATTGTCCAGATTTTTTTTTTTGTTACTGGTTTCTAGTTTAATTCTAGTTATGGTTAGAAAACATACTTTATATGGTTTATTTTATGGCCCAGAATGTGATCTGTGTTTGGGAATATTCCATTTGCCTTGAAAAGAATTTGTATTGTCCTATTGGATGGAGTAATCTATAAATGTCAGTTAGGTCAAGTTGTTTGATAATGTTGTTAATCTAGGTACTTATTGATGCAGATATTAATATCTTTATCAAGAAGATACTGATATCCTTAATGAAAGAAGAGTGTTAAAGTATGCACATGTAATTATGGGTTTGTCTGTTTCTACTTAAAGATCTATCAATTTTTCTTTGTGTATTTTGAAGATCTGTTGTTGGATGCATAGACATTTAGGATTGTTTGACTTCTTGGTGAATTGACTCTTTTATCATTATGTAATGTCCCTCTTCTATTCCTGATAATATTCCTTATTTGAAGTCAGCTTTGATGATAATAGAGATGTTCCAGTTTTGCTTTGATTAGTGTTTGTATGATAATGTATAGTTTATAAACAGATTCACCTTTTTTTTAAAGTATAAAGTTCTGGGAGATGTGACTAACCACCACCACCACAATCAAGATATAGAACAGCTTAATCACCCTCAATAATTCACCTTGAGGGGGGTGGGGGGATGGGTTAGCCTGGTGATGGGTATTGAGGAGGGCACGTTTTGCATGGTGCACTGGGTGTTATGAACAAACAATGAATCATGGAACACTGCATCAAAAACTAATGATGTAATATATGGTGATTAACATAACAATAAAAAAATTAAAAAAAAATAATTCACCTTGACTTTGTAGTAAACCACTTCTTCCACTTCCACTTGCTGGCAATCATTGATTTTTTTTCTACCTATAGTTTTATCTCTTCAAGAATATCATTCATTCATTCATTTATTTTTTAAGATTTTATTTGAGAGAGAGCGGGAATGAGCTTACAAGCAGGGGTAGTGGCAGGCAGAGGGAGAGGGAGAACCAGGCTCCCTGAGGAGCCAGGAGCTGGATGTGGGGCTTGATCCCAGGACCCTGAGATAGCGATCTGAGCCAGAGGCAGTCGCTTAACCGACTGAGCCACTCAGGCGCCCCAAGAATATCATTTAAATGAAGCATACATTATGTAATGTGTGTATATACACCCTTTTGAGTGGCTTTTTTCACTTAGTGTAATGTTTTTGAGATTCATCCATGTCGTCGTGTGTTTGAGTTTCTTTTTATTGATAAGTAGTATTCAGTTGTATGTGTATACTGCAGTTCATTCATCCATCCATTCAAAGAACATTTAGGGTTTTGGCTATTACAAATACAGCTGCTACATAAACATTTGCCTAGAGGGTTTTGTGTGAACATATTTTTATTTCATTTGTGAAGTGTCTTTATATGGTTTGTGTTATGGCCCAGAATGTGATCTGTGTTTGGGAATATTCCATTTGCCTTGAAAAGAATTTGTATTGTCCTATTGGGTGTGAGTATATGTTTAGTTTTATCGGAAATTGCCAAGCTGTTTTCCAAAGTAGTTAAACCATTTTGATTTCCTTCTACAAAGTATGAGTGTCCTTATACCTCATAAATAATTTGGGAAATAGTCTCTCCTTTTTAATTTTCTGGAAGAGTTTGTGGGGAATTGACTAATTTCATCCTTAAGTATTTGTTGTAATGTTTCTGTGAAGTCATTTGGGCCTGGCGTTTTCTTTGTAGAAATGTTTTCAACAATAAATTCAATTTATTTAATAGAGATAAGACTAAACAGGTTACTTAATTCTTCTTAATTGAGCTTTGGTAGTTTATGTCTTTCAAGGAATTTTTTCACTTCATCTAAATTGTCTAATTTATTGGCATGAGTTCACAATTTTCCCTAGCAGGTATTAAAAATACTCTGAACCTTTTATAATTAAAACAGTATATTACTGGTACACAGTTAGAAGATAAACCAGTAGGGGGTGGGGCGCGTCTGGGTGGCACGGTCAGTTGAGCGACTGACTCTGGGTTTCAACTCAGGTCCTGATTTTAGGTTCATGAGATCCAGTATCACGTAGGCTTCACACTCAGTGCAAGTCTGTGCTTGTCCTTCTCCCTCTGCCCCTCCCCCTGCTGGAGTGCACACACTCTCTCTCAAATGAATAAAAAAATCTTTTTTTAAAATAAATCTTTTAAAAAAAAAGAAAAAAAGAAGCCAGTGGGGAAAAAAAGAAAGGCCAGAAATAGGCTCAAATACATTTGGCAATTTAATTATTATTTTTTACAAAAGCTTTTATTTATTTGAGAGAGAGAGCATGAGCAAGGGGGGAGAGGCAGAGGGAGAAGGGGAGAGGGGAGGGAGAAGCAGGCTCCTAGCTGAGCAGGGAGCCCTACTCAGGGCTCAATCCCAGGACCCCAGGATCATGACCTGAGCCAAAGGCAGATGCTTAACCGACTGAGCCACCGAGGCGCCCCTACATTTGGCAATTTAGTATATGATAAAGTATATGGTGTCTCAAGTTACTGGAGTAAAGATGTATTTTTTAAATAAATGGTGCTGGGACAACTGGATAGCCATTTTGTTAAAGAAA